AGAAGCAAACTCCTAGAGACAGCAGAATGTGGAAGAATGGAAGGGGAAAGGCAGAACACGTGTGGGCTCCTCGCCTGCCCAGGTCTCTGCTGCCCATTGATTGCTTTTCTCTCAACGGGCTTCCACTGCCCGTATCACACAGGACCTGGGATGAGGTACTCTTGAGCTTTCTACGGATGGATTCAAGGCCGTTCAGCCTGAGTGTGCCATAGCGGGGCCTGGCTCCCCACCCAATACATACGGCCCTCCTGCCTTTTCCAGCTGGGGCCCAGCTCTACCCAGGCAGCGTCACACAGCTTTGCTTACAGCAGAGCTGGGCCTGACCTCCTGTTTGGTTACGCTGCTGCCCCCAGCATCAAGCAGTCTGGGACTGGGAAGAGGCCCCGACTCACTGGGGAGCCCCATCATTGATTCCCACTCCCCCACCCCATCTAATGGCTCTGGCACCAGGTCTCGGACAGCCCCTGCTCCCACCTTAGAGACGAAGGGCACCCAGGTGGAAGACTCCGTCTCCCGCCCCCTCCCCACCACACGAGAACCACTGGCACAGCATAGGAGCAGGCGCTGGAGAGCAGAAACCCCTGTGCACAGAGCATCCGCCACCCCCAACCCTGAATGTTAGCATTCAAAGCCACACACCAGGCTCCAGAATCAGAACAGCGCTGACCTTGTTTGCACCAGGTCCTCTGAAGCCAATTGCAAAAGAGAAGCGAAGAGTGAGGAGTTTGTGACAGTCAATCCAGCGGCCTGGCCTTTAGAGAAGGGTCTGTCAGTATTCACGGGACATGGCGGAAGCAGATGGCTAAGCACGATGCAGTGCCCAGAGCTACTCACTCTCTTTCCTTAGGGGAAAGAAAAAGGCTGGCAGAGACACTTCCCTGGCAAAAACTCTTCAACAGCCGTCTCCTGGGCGTTGCTGGAGCTAAAAGGAGCCAGACATTGTATCACTGAGTTTGGGGCAGTACCCGCCTCTGTCAAGGGGACTCCTGGGTTCTGTTCCTGACTCCAGCACTCTCGGGGGGGGGGGGTCTCTGTGCCTCAGTTTCCCCATGTCATGCTCATCTCTCTTGGGGATGTTGCATGGCTCGACTGATGTCTAGAAGGGGCTCCGAGCTCCTCAGACAAAAGGACTAGAGACATGCAATAAAAAGCTGCAGTTTGACACACAATGAAACAAGAGGCGAATGAAGCCTGGGGGCCTAACTGCCCGGCTCTCCTCTCGCCTCGGGCCCTTGCTTTGGACAGTGTAATGGTGGCCACCCTTCCAGGAGACATTCTCAATGGGGCAGAGGTGTCCGTTGCTAAGGAAGTGCCCTTTTGGCAGCAGGTCTCCTCCAGGGGCACAGAGCAGAAACAAATCCGAAATCTCGCTCTTTCAGTGAAAATGACAGAGTCAGGGTCACAAGCGACCACTGTGATCTCCGCCTGGGAGCTGAGGAGCAAGCCAAGCCCCCTGCTGCCTCTGACTTGCAGGTCTGCAGGCCTGGGCTTTTTGTAGGGCCAGCAAACGCACATCTGCCCAGAAAAGCAAACAGCTCTGGGGAATAAGATGCCGCTTCTCGCGACAAACTGCCCTTCAAGCTGACGTCAAGACTCCTAGCATAACCCTGTTTTCCAAGGACTGGGCACTCGGCTGTAAGAACTTACTCAGGGCTGTACCTTGCCATGGAAGGTGTTTCCAGACCTTTACCTGTCAAACGGGACGGGCCCGACTGGACTGAAATTTGGCAAGCCATTCACCTAAATTATATTCAAATGGTTCTTTGCTCTTCTTCCACAAACGATAAATGAGCCAAGACGGTGCTGGTTAATAACCCACTACGGAGCATGGGCAGGGCCACTTTCCCACATGAATTTTCACAAGGCTTGTTGCTCCAGAATGCACACCTCTAAAATGCACAATTAGTTCGTGCTTTACAAGTGCTGTGATTTGTGGCCTGTGGCTCACAGGTTGCTCTGGGCCATCAGGAACATACTGAATCAATAGTGGAGCGTGAGAGTCGGGCAGCTGAAGCCCGGGCTGTGGAAAGTTCTGGACAAGTTGATTATATCCTGGGGAGTATGTAGAACTAGGGCGACCACTACTAAAATGCAGTCTGCTGTGCTTTGCACTTTTCTAGCCTTTCCTCCGATCTCCAACCATTTGCCACCCACTCATTATTTAACACTGCCACTGAGCTAGGAGAGAATTCCCAGCTTTACAGATGAGGAAACTGAGTCCAGAGAAGTGAGAAGTTGGAAGAGAACCCAGGACGCCTGAACCCAGAACCCTAATCCCAGGCCCTAAGCGCTCGACCATACTCCTTCCATAACTGTGTGTTTAACAGCAGCTTCTGTCCTGAACTAGGGCCTGCTGGAAGTTAATCTAACAGGGGTAGATTCTCTGCCTGCTCTCTTCAATCCCATGACCCAAAAGGTGCGCTCAAGACACGTCCATGTGCTAAGCGGAGAAGCTTTTCCTGTTTGTTTTCACTCATTGTGCGTGAACTGAAGTGTGGCAGAAGGCGCCCTGGGCAGCACCAGAAGTGGAATCCTCTACTTCAGCCACAGAACAGCTAGGCACATGAGCAGTGTCAGCACAAGCTCTCGTCACAGTGGGCTTCAGCCATCTCCTAGAAGGACCCTGTCTAGGGAAGAAGAGGACATTCAGTTCCCAAGGCCTCTCTGCTGACACTGCTCACAGGGCTGCTGATCAGCAGTGAGATGGTCTGAACTGGACCAAGTCCACTAACTGATTTCCCATAGGCCACCAAACAGCCATCACTGCCTTCTAGTCATTACGGACATGGACCAGACTACAGCTGGTAGCCTAGAGCTGAGACGCTCATCACTCGGCCATCCATTGCCATACGACTGGGGCTGAGGCACAAAGAAGAGTGTCAGTCTGAGCTCGACTTCCCCGGATACTGCTGGCCCACGTCACCCCCTGAACACAATGGGGCACTTCAGCTCCTGCCGTGTGCTCCCAGCAGCACTCACCAGGAGCTAACCACTTACACTCATTTGCAATTTGCTTGGGAAGAGCCAAAGATGAGACAAGGTTTCAAATAAGGTCAGTGTGTGCTTGATTAGTTGTGTTACCTTTGTTCCCGCAGGCACATCACCCAAATAAAAGACCGATTTAGTCGGAGACACAGGCAATTCTCAGCCAAAACCACAGCGCTTCATTGGTTAATCACCACTGAGAGGACAGATGAGGCACTGGACCAAGTGCCTAAAACCGCTCCGCTTACATGGGAGAGAGGCTAAGGAAGCAAAAGCTGTAGAAACCAAGGAACGATTATAGCCCGCAGGGAAAGGGTACAAGGACTCCAAGAGGAAGAACGCCACAGCAAGCATCAGTCCCGAGGCACGGCAGGCTAGAGGGAGCTAGAAAAGAAGGAGCGGTATACCCAAAGCTCTCAGTGTGACAGCGAATCCCCGAGGTGACGTCAGGAGGGGGCAGGTCGGGGGCGGAGTCCATCTGGAGGATATAAGAGGAGGAGGTGTGATGGTAATAGATAGGGTGGGCATGGCAAGCAGGAGAAGATGCAGTGGTGGTGGCGGTGGAGGAGCAAGAGGCGGTGGTGGCAGATGCTGGGCTGGTTCCATGAGCGTCGGAACTAAAAGACTGTCCAGAAGTGAGGCTGTGCATTCGACGAAGAGCAACTCTGCCTGTCAGGTAATGGGCAGGCTGGCCCGGCTCATTCTGGCCATGCACGTAACTCTCTACCAACCTCTGAGATCCGAGGGAGTGCTGCGGGTCCACGACGCGCTGGCGGACACCGCTCGGCAAGGGGGCAGCTGTAACGACAGAGAAGAGAACACTGAGTGCAGCTGGAGAAGAACCTGTGCACTAAACCAGCCAGGCTGCACTGGCATAAAGCCACCATCCCATGTCAGCATTACAGGTCACAGATCATGAAACTCTGTGCCAATGGAGCACTGCTTTGGCCCTTTTAGCCATCCCATCAGGGATGCGGTGAGCTGTGCCGATTTGATACAGAAGAGGCGTTACGTCTTTGCTTCTGCTTCAATCAATGACCAGCCCAAGAGAAACAGGGTTTTACATTCCTTATTTTATCCCCATGCTTGTCATAGGTGACCAGAGAGGAGTGTGCACTATCAGAGGTTTATATTACTAGCTTGAGACTGAAGCAAGGGGTCTGATTTTGATTTTACTGATACCAGTTCTACCCCAGTGTATTTGCACTGCTTCCAAGGAAATGCTCCAGATTTACCCCTTTGCTGCTGAGAGCGTGATTTGTCCTTTGATTAAGTACAGTTGCACTTCAACTGAAGCACAAGGAAAGCTTCCATTACAGGTGCAGGAATCTCTCAGCACTTTCACAGTGTGCCTTTGTCTGCAGGGTTGGATGGCTGAGATGCCCAGTGCAAGACAAGGGAGGACTTTTTGAGATGTATCAGCTGGTCTAACCAATGTTAGTAGGGATAGTTACCGTTTTTCACTATTTTATACACCCACCAAGTGCAGATCTGCTCTGAAAAATGACATCAGCCAGTTCCCTTTGCACATCAGAGTGCTCCGTTTGCAAGATTTTTTTTTCCAATACTAAATTCATCTTAGGGTCTGAAAGCCAAGCTGGCTTCTTTCCTTCTCCTGCATTGTCACAGCTTTTAATGCCAGAAGAGACCATTGCAATTATATAATCCGACTTCCTACATAGCACTAGCCAGAGAACCTCACCCACTCTTCCCTGCATCAAGCCCATAACTTTCATTTCAGCATATCCTTTAGAAAGGCCTCAAATCTCAATACATCGATTTCAAGTGATGGAGAATCTACCAAGCCCCTAGGTAAGTTGTTCCAATGTTCTTAATTACCCTCAAAAAGTTGCACCTTATTTCTAGACTGGATTTTTCTAGCTTCAGCTTCTGACCATTGGATCTCATTATATCTGTGTCTGCTAGATTAAAAAGACCTGTGCTGTACGTACCTGTAGACTCATCGTACCCTTCTCTTGGAATACGGTTCTCAGGCCAAGTTACAGGCGGACAAGTTAGAATATAATCTGAAAGTGGTGGGGCAGCACAGGTGTCACTGAGGGCAGAGCTTGGCCTGCAGAATCTAGGAGTAATTGTTCAGATGCTCCGGTGATGAGCGCAGTCTAAAACCTACACAGAATAGAATAGTAGTGGTGCTCCCCAGGCCAAAAGACAGAAAAACCATCTCTACTTATATCTGCTCTTCAAGGCACTGAGCACTGATAAACATGGAGCACCAGGAGGGCATTACAGAGTCATTTCTCAGAGTAGAACCGACTTGGGGTGAAATTCGCCCCTGGACAGGAGGTCAGCACATGACCTAGGCACTAAAGTCTAACTTGGGACATAAGCCGGTCCCTCTGCAAAGGGTAAATCTCACCCTCTGAGCGTGGAGAGTGCTGGTAAGATAAATCCTTATCCAGTGCACACTGATCATTTATAAAATTATGCCCAGGAACCAGCACTGAGTGGAAATCACTACCTTCAAAGTCTGACCATTCACAGCTGTGGATTCACGGCTTGCTTTAGCTGGTGTGTGTAATTATGGGCTGTAATGCATTTCTAATGTGGTAATTATAAGCGGCAATGCGTTTCTAATGTGGTAATTATAAGCTGCAATGCATTTCTTGCCTGAACTTCCGTATGGATTTTTTTTTTTATTGCTGAGTACCAGAATCCTTGAAATAAAAAGTTCATGATAATGAAATAAAGGATCATTAATGTTTAGGCCACCACCCCTTCCTTCTTGATTTCCAGACTCCTTGACCCTACCCAACCCAACTCGGTGCTCCAATGAGGAGAGGCTAGGACGTGACACAGGAAGTTCTCAACTGTTGCTTGCTAAATGCAACCCTGGTGGAGCTGTGCTTGGCAGACAGTAATTTTGCACAGTTTTACAGCATAACAGTGATGTCTGATGGCACTACCACCTCTCTGTGTTCTTCCATTCTAAGCCCCAAAGCTCTTCAGCCACCAAAACTTCTGTCCAGGGTGCCTGAACTTTACCCAACTGAGGGACACCCCTCATTTGCCTGAATTGGAGCAGATGAGTCTTGCCCCTGTATTCAGTAAGGATATATCCTGCAGCGACTTCTGGTATCTGCAATGGCCACTGAGATCAAGACAGAGCATTGCATGCTGGGACACAGCATTCCATAGACTGCATCTCCCTACGGCAGTCAAGGGTGACTGTGGCTACACTTGTCACTGGGCTGCACTTTGGGCTGTCCTGTTCGGTATGTTTCCTTTGCAGGGGGGTTCAAAACTTTCTGGCGTCTAAAGATGCATACACATAAGACAGTGATGTCAAAATGGTTAAAAAGGTGAATGGACAGAAAAGTTCAGAAGTGAAGTATAGGGAGAGTTCTTCTGGGAATTGAAGAACCAGCAAAACGCTGCTGTCAAACCCACTCCACAGCTAGGAGAACATGGGTTCCTGTGGTTCAAATACGTAGATTCCGGAGTGATCACTGCCTGGGTATACTGCAGTATAAGGGGAATGTCACTGTATAGTAAGAAATGCAACAAAAATAATCCAAACAAACTGCTGTCTTAACACTCTCAGGGTTAGCCACAGGGTTTCCTCCAGGAGATTCCCACTGATGAGGGTCTCCGTTCCCTTACTGCTATTCTCTGCAACCAATGATTCTTTCAGAGGCCCTCTTTCGACTGTGCAGCCTAAACATTTCTAGAATTTATTTCCTGCTGGATCCTGAACTGAAATAAACCTAACAAATCAAGTCACGTGGAGCTAAAATCGAAGCTAAATCTCTAGCTCCTGAAACACTCGTCAGGAAGGTGGCCGGAGGAGGAGAGAGAGCTGGAGCAGCAAGGGGCCAGATCTGGGGGCTATTCGGGCTATACGCCTTCCTCTTCTTCAAATGGAGCTCTGCTGACGTGAACCAATGTTGGCACAGTCAAGCGGCCCGGGTGGGGTCTTACTCTGCCTTCGGAGGAGAGGCTTTTCTATTACACAGCTGGAGGAGGGGGATACGTTTGTGGGATTCCAGATCTCCTGAGGGCTCTTCTTTCCTTACTGGGACACATCCTCCTCACCGGGCCTTTCCCCTCCTCCATTCTGGGGCAGGTCTTGGGCCTGTGCTATACAGGAGGTCAGTCTAGATGATCACAATGGTCTCTTCTGGCCTTGGGATCTATTCATGCTGTTCATCCCCCAACTTTGTCCCTTACACTCCTGTCATGCCGCTGGGTTTTGTTTACCAAGCTCTTGTAGTGAGCACGGGACTGGGAGTCAAGGCTCCTGGGTTCAAATCCTGCCTCGGTCTCTGTGGGTACGTCTACATGGCGGTAAAAGCCCTACGGCACAGGTACAGCTGGCCTGGGTCAGCTGAATCGGGCTTGGGCTGTAGGACTAAAAATTGCTGGGTAGACACTCAGGCTCCAGCTGGGGCCCTGCGCGGGTGGAGGGTACCAGAGCCAGGGCTCCAGCCCGAGCCCGAACGTCTACACAGCAATTTTTCAGCCCCAGCGCCCGAGCCCAAGCCAGCTGCCCCGGGCCAGCCATAGATGTTACCCTGCTGCAGACATACCCTGTGTGGTCTAGGGTAACTCACAACCTTAGTGTGTCCCTGTTTTACATGAGGATTCTCTGACTTATAAATATGAACAGATTGTCCATCAAAGGCCTTGATTACTTTTCTGGGCCTGACTTATCGCCTTGGTACTCCAGGTTTACCCCAGCATAATTCCACTGAAGTCAATGGAGTTCCACTGCTGTAACCCAGTGGAGGATCAAACCCTAACCATCTGGTATCTTGCTCCCTACTTTGTTGATTAGCAGGATGACCCCAGCCTCTTATATTTTAGAGGCAGATCTCCAGGAAGCTCCACATTCTCCCTCCGCCATCACACACAGACAGGCTCTGTATCGTGACAACACTTCCACTGAGGGAAAATTAACCAGAGGAAGTGGGGAATCGCTTAAGATGTTCCCTCCAACCAGAAGCTGTATGCGGTCTCCACTGTGCTGTATATAGCATCAAAACAATCACATCTGTGGCTGACATCTCCCTCCATCAGCCCGAATCACCCCAAGAGAGGGAGGGCACTGTTGTTATTGATACTCCGGGTCCTCCAGGACGTGGGAGGGGAGCAGGGAAGCCCTGACCAAAACTGCCTTTCAAACCTTGGTTTTAAAAATCCAAAACACAAAGTGAGGAGGAAGGAGCTAACATGCAATTCTTCTTCATCCCAGCAGACTCTGCCCAGAGGTTAGTAAATTTGCTAATTTGCTCACTGGAGAAGAGCGTGTGTATTAGTTTTTGTGCCAAAAAGTTGGAAAAATTGTGGATATATTTTAGTCCAGCGGGTGAAAAAAAAAAAACCAAGAGAACCAAACCGGGGTGTTTCCAGAGGGACAGATCCTCCGTGGAGATAGACGAGCGGTCACTGAACCTGCGCCCCAAAAGCCAGGCCGCGTCTGGGGTTAGCCAATCAGGTTTGAAAGGGAGAGAGAAAAGTTTGATTTACAGGTATAATCATCACTGGCACTCAGCAGCATTCTCAACCCGAACGGGACAGGAATGGATCAACCACAGAACTGCCCTCCTCCCCTAAGGGACCCCTGCACACAGGCAGTGGCACTCCCTGAGCCCCGGGGGGCGGGGCAATAGTGACACTGAAGGGTCACTCGTGTCGGGAGCCCAACTTGAGATGCCATGGGCTTGGTTTGCAAAGGCGCTGAGCACACGCAGCCCCCCGTGAGCCAGACAGGCTCTTCATTGATGTTAATCAGCGCGGCTTCATTACATCAGCTGAGCTGGCCTGATTTTCACCAGCTGAGAACCTTGGCCATTGATTTGAACAGGAACCGCAGGTGCTCAGTACCTCAGAAACCCAAGCCCTAGGGGTCTCCCATGGGGCACCCAAAGTCTGAGACATGAAAATTCAGCCCAGGGCCCATATCACGTAAGGATCAAATCTGGAGTCTTCACTCCAATTTGTACTCAGGGGTTTCCATTAAGATTTGTGGATATATTTTTGCCTGGTTAAATCCTAGCAGCAGGTTCTCAGGAACCTGTCTCCTCGGACAAATCTCTAGCTGGTACACCTGTCATGCTTATAATGAAGCCATCATTGGTAAGTGGCTCCAAGTCAGCCTCAGCCAGGTTATCGCCGGGACCCACTGCTCCTCCAACCGTGCCACTGCCCTCTCTTCCTCTGCCCAGCTCACACTGAGAACTTCCTGCTCTGTCTTCACTTCTATCATAGGCCGCCATGAAGAACATGGGCAGCAACACGTCTCTCCATCATTGGAGCTAGTAAGTACTTCTGGAGTTAATGGCTTCCAAATACCTCCAGCAATGGAGGTGGGGCTTATACTGACATGCCAGCACTAGAATGACTCTCGCGCTTTCTCTGTTGGTTTAAAAATCAATATGGCTACACCGTTCCCTTCCAATATATCCCAGCTCTCTGCACCTATCTATCTAGAGTATCACAGTGCCCTCACTGGAGCAGTAGCTAAGTGCTAACTCGCCTCAGTGCGCATCATCTAGCAGAGGATACATACACTGCATGGACATGGGAGAGACAATCTCTTCGTCCAGATCGTCCAGATCATCAGTCATGATGAAGTGTGCTGGGTTGGGCCGGGAGGTGCCCACCCAGCTGGGATCGATGTTCAGGGCTGTCACTAGCGTGTGGATGCCAGGGTTGTTGACAATCTGGAAGCCGCACAGCAGCTCTATTTGGTGCCAGCGGTGTAGGCGCTCCCGCAGTGCGGCCGTCACTTCGCTCAGGGCTTGCCTGAAAACAAGATTCGAACAAGGGAAAAGGAAAAACAAATGAGGAACAGTGGAAACAAATTACACCAGATAGAAGATCCCAGTGTGTCTGAAACAGGGAGTCAGAAGATTAAGCTGAGATTCCTCTCTGTGTGTATTTCTCCAGACCGCCTTCCGTTGTAACCACTTCTGAATGGGATTTTTCTGTGTGTTAACCCCTAGACAGGTTCTCAGTGTGAGAACAAGAGTCAGTGTCAAAGTATTGTGATACAGCTCTGAGCCACGCAAATCTCAGAGTCTTGGGTTGGGATTTTTAAAGCTGACCAGGAGATTTTAATTCGTTTGGATTTTTACGGGTGCTGTCTGGCTAACACCTCCAGCTGGCTTGGAAAATCTCAACCCTGGAAGACAAGTAAGATGAATGAATCAATTTTAAGATGAATAAGCTAGTGGTGTCTGAAGCTTTACCCTAGTGAAAATGAATGAGCCTTCAGGTTATTTGATGGATAAGTGTGATGGAGTTCACAGGTAGGCATCTTCTCAAAATCCCAATGAATGCTTCCGCCATGACAGGAAGGGACTTACAGGAATAGATTTATCAGCCATATGAACAACTTCACCAACCACAGAGGGAACATGGCCACAGCATATAGCAACAGGCTACAGCAGGAAACCCTGTCCTACTGGAACCTCAGGGGAGAACATCCCTCTCTCTGAGCAGAAACATGGGATCTGTAATACCTGTAAATGGTCCGGGTCTTCAATTTTCCATCTTAACAGGGTAAAATGTTACTAGCTACCCGTTACATTTCACACATTCACCAAAACCTGACAAATGTGAATTAAATAAGGATCAACTTCTACTGAGGCAAAGGAAAGGCCAACAAATTCATGCTGTGCAACAGAATGGATTTAGAACGGGCTGTGCAGAACACGCACTATGGAAGGTTTCAGAGTAGCAGCCGTGTTAGTCTGTATCCGCAAAAAGAACAGGAATACTTGTGGCACCTTAGAGACTAACAAATTTACGGAATGACTTTTCCCTGGGGTTCAGGATCCGTAGAGGTGGACGTCTGTGCCTTGCCCCAATGAGGCTAAGCAAAATGAGAACAGGCTTTACTGACATGCATGTATTACAGCCACCTGCATGGGAGGGGAGGGATTTGGGGGAAATGGCAGGAAGACATGCGGTGGATACTCACTTTGCAGTTAAGATTTTATGATCAACGTCGTCTAGGGATGAGCTGTGAGCAACATGAAATGTTCCAAAGAGGGTGTTTCGCTTCTTTTTAATTTTTTCAGCCTGAAACATATTAACAGAAAAAGGTCACCGGAACAATCAGCCCTTGTGTTTCCTCCAGGACAATAATATCCTGAACAGGATAAGACAGAAATAGTCCTGTGGCTGTTTGCACACACGCAAGTAGCTTGAACTGTCACTTTAGCGAAGGGTGTTATGGCACGTAACATGCTGGCTAGGGTGTCAATCGAGAGCGGAGTCAGGACAAGAGTTCAGAGCACCAGCTACAACTGCATAGCTAAGGACTCCTCCCGCGCCACAGGCTCGTTACCAGAAAGACCAACGAAAGCTTTATCAACAGGATCCTAACATCCTGAAATGGGGGTTTGCCTCCTCTTTAGAACACTGTGTATATTTGAATCTTAAGTCCCTACATACAGATCCTTGGTCTTTATGCTCTAATAATGTTTGCTGCAGAGTTGCAAAAGGCAAACCGGGGGCAGGAACGCTGCAGCTGACACCACCCGGGGAAATGGCTGAAGTGCTACAGCATTTGTGGTCAGAATGTGATAAGACCGACAAATTCATATTTGTCCTGTCACCTCTGACTGCTGTACAACGTCAAGAGAGCCAAGCACATTGGCTGCAATAGCTTCCTGCTCTCTGCTTCGCTCAGAAGATTTTAAACAGCTGGGAACAGAGAAGTGACTTGGCCAGTGAAGACCACATACACATTTTACATGTCAAAAACTTCTCTGCCCTAATACGTGTGACACTTGGGGCCGGATTTGCTCTCACTGGGGCTGTGGAGAGTTCCTTTCACAGACGTTTCACAATGCATGACACTGCACACCACAACTAGTTATGCACATTAGCAGGTTTAAACTTATCCACCAAAGAGCCACTTCCTCAGTGAGCAGCAATGTGGCCCAGTGGGCTGAGTATGCGGCTGGGAGCCTAGAACTCAATGGTTCTAACCCAGCTCTGGCGCTAATTCACTGTATAACGCTGCACAAATCACTTCATCTCTTTGTGACTCAATTTCCCCATCTATAAAGTGTCTATAACAACTGTGTTGGGTGCTTTAATTAAGGTTTGTGCAGCACTTTGAAAATGTAAAACATGACACCAGTACCTGATATCATCATGCATCATGGACCAGTATGAGATATCATCATGTATCCATGGTCATCAAACCTCCATGGAAACATGGATTAATTGCTAAGCATGAGTACCAAAAAGTAGCTAAAGCATGTAGGGACAAAATCAGAAAGGCTAATGCACAAAATGAGTTACACCTGGCAAGCGACATAAAAGGCATGAGAAGAGGTTCTATAACTATATTAGGAGCAAGAAAAAGATGAAGAAAAGTATAAGGCCACTACTTAGCAGGGAAGGAGAGCTAATAATGAATAGCATCAAGAAGGCTGAGGTGTTTAATGCCTATTTTGCTTCAGTGTTCATTAAAAAGGTTAATGGTGACCAGATGCTCAACACAACCAATATCAAAAACAAGTGGGAAGGACACAAGCCAAAAGAGAGAATGAACAGATTAAAAAAATATTTAAATAAGTTACATGTATTTACGTTGACAGGGTTTGATGAAATTCATTCTAGGGTACTTAAGGAACCAGTTGAAGCAATCTCTGAATCATTAGCAATTATCTTTGAGAACTCAAGGAGGATGGACGAGGTCTCAGAGGACGGGAGAATGGCAAGCACAGTACCTGTTTTTATAAAGAGGACCCAGGGGATTATAGAACAGTCAGCCTAACTCTGATATCAGGAAAGATACTGGAACAAATTATTAAACAATCAGTTTGGAGCACCTAGAAGTTAATAGGATTATAAGCAATAGCCAACATGGATTTGTCAAACCAACCTAATTTCCTTCTTTGACAGGATGACTGGCCTAGTGGATGGGGAGAGCTGTAGAAGTGATAGATCTTTTCACCCAGTCCCACATAACATTCTCACAGGCAAACTAGGGAAATGTGGTGCAAGGTAATGCACATTGGAAAACATAATCCAACTATACATTCAAAATGATGGAGTTTAAATTAACTGTTAATACTCAAAAAGGAGATCTTGGAGTCGCTGTGGATAGTTCTCTGAAAACATCCGCTCAGTGTGCAGCAGCAGTCAAAAAAGCCAACAGAATGTTAGGAACCATTTGGAAAGGGATTGATAATAAGAGAGAAAATATCATGATGTCTCTATATAAATCCATGGTATGCCCATATCTTGTATCCTTTGTGCAGTTCTGGCCACCCCATCTCATAAAAGATATATTTGAAATGGAAACAGTACAGAGGAGGAGGATAAAAATGATTAGAGATATGGAACAGTTTCCATATGAGGAGAGATTAAAAAGACTGCAAATGTTCATCTTAGAAAAGAGAAAACTATGGGATTGGGAATATAGATCGAAGTCTATAAAATCATGAATAGTGTGGAGAAAGTGAATAGGGAAGTGTTATTTAACCTTTCACATAACACAAGAACAAGGGGTCACCAATGAAATTAATAGGCAGTGGGTTTAAAAACAAACAAAAGGCAGTAGTTCTTCACACAATGCACAGTCAACATGTGGAACTCCTTGCCAGAGGATGCTGTGAAGGCCAAAACTATAATGGGGTTCAAAAAAGAATTAGATAAGTTCATGGAGGACAGGTCCATCAATGGCTATTAGCCAAGACGGTCAGGGACACAGCCCCATGTTCCAGGTGTCCCTAAACCTCTGACTGCCAGAAGCTGGGACTGCACTACAGGGCAGGGATTACTCGACAATTGCCCTGTTCTGTTTATTCCCTCTGAAGCATCTGGCAGTGGCCACTCCCAGACTACAGGATGCTGGGCTAGGTGGACGATGTCTGACCCAGTCTGGGCATTCTTATGTTCTTAGATGAAATTACTGTAAGGTGGGTGGTTAAACGGTTAAAAGACTGTACTCAAAGAGTAGTAGTCAATGGTTTGTTGTCAGACTGGGAGGATGTATCTAATGGGGACCCACAGGGTTTTGTCCTTGGCCTGGTACTATTCAATATTTTTATTAATGACTTGGCTAATGGAGTGGAGAGGATGCTTATAAAATTTGCAGATGACACCAAGCTGGGAGGGGTTGCCAGCACTTTGGAGGACAGGATTAGAATTGAAAATGACCGTGACAAATTAGAGAATTGGTCTCAAATCAACAAGATGAAATACAATAACGACAAGTGCAAAGTACTACACTTAGGAAGGAAAAAATCAAATGCAGAGCTACAAAACGGGGAATAAGTGGCAAGGCAGTAGTACTGCCGAAAGGGATCTGAGGGTTATAGTGGATCACAGATTAAACATGAGCCAACAAAGTGATTCAGTTTTGAAACAAGCTAATATCATTCTGGGATGTATTAACAAGAGTGTCATATGTAAGACACGGGAGGTAACTGTCCCACTATCTGCAGCATCAGTGAGGTCTCATCTGGCGTCCTGTGTTCAGGACTGAGCACCATGCTTTAAGGAAGATGTGGACAAACTGGAGAGAGTCCAGAGGAAAGTACCAAAACTAATAAGAGGTTTAGAAACCCTGACCTATTGGAAAAGGTTAAAAAGCCTGGGCATGCTCAGTCTTGAGAAAAGAAGACTGAGGGGGAGACCTGATAACAGCTTCAAATCTGTTGAGGGCTGTTCTACAGAGGATGGTGATCAATTGTTCTCCATGTCCACTGTGTAAGACAAGAAGTGATGGCCTTCGTCTGCAGCAAGGGAGATTTAGGTTAGATATTAGTAAATCTTTTTAACTACAAGGATAGTTAAACTCTGCAACAGGCTTTCAAGGGAAGCAGCAGAATCCCCATTATTGGAGGCTTTAAGAACAGGTTGAACAAACACCTGACAGGGATGGTCTCGGTTTACTTGATCCTGCCTCAACGCCAGGGGAGGGTGGAGCAATGAACCAGAGGACCTCTTAAGGACCTTTCCAGTCCTACATTTCTATGGTTCTATGCACTGAGCAACAGTCACATACTATTGTCAAGATGTTACACGATATCTCCCCAAACCAGAGCTACGAAGCACAACACGTGGCAATAGGACTGGGGTCGAGTCCCCGCAAGCAAGTATTTCCTTATATTGCACTACGGCAAGCAAGCAGGATCAATCAGCAGGTGGTTCGCAGAAAGAAAAGATGGGAGCAGGCAGGAGAGAACAGCACAGAGAGAGAGACGTTCTAGATCTATTAGGCTGTAAATATTGTGACAGGGTCAGGCCAGATGGCTATAGGAGAGTGTTAGAAGACAGGTATATTAGTCCCAGATTAAGTAGATCCCTTTTCCCTGGGTAAGGGAACAGGGGCAGTTCCAGAACAACCAGGAACCAATTAAGGCAGGCAGGCTAATTAAGACACCTGGAGCCAATTAAGAAGAAACTGCTAGAATCAATTAGGACAGGCTGGCTAATCAGGGCATCTGAGTTAAAAAGGAGCTCACTTCAGTTTGTAGCGTGCATGCGAGGAGCTGGGAGCAAGAGGCGCTAGGAGCTGAGAGTGGGAAAGCGTATTGCTGGAGGATTGAAGAGCACAAGCGTTATCAAACACCAGGAGGAAGGTCCTGTGGTGAGGATAAAGAAGGTGTTGGGAGGAGGCTCTGGGGAAGTAGCCCAGGGAATTGTAGCTGACGTGCAGCTGTACCAGGAGGCACTCTAGACAGCTGCAGTCCACAGGGCCCCGGGCTGGAACCCGGAGTAGAGGGTGGGCCCAGGTTCCCCCCAAACCTCCCAGCTCCTGATCAGACACAGGAGGAATTGATCTGGACTGTGGCTTCTACCAGAGAGGAAGGTCTCTGGGCTATTTCCCGACCCACAAGGTGAATCTCTGAGGTGAGCAAATCCGCAAATAAGCGCAGGACCCACCAAGCTAGAGGAGGAACTTTGTCACAGTATCTATGGATTTCATTCCCCAGCCTCAAGGAGGGAAGAATTTAGGACTAAAGAGACTGAAGTTCTCACCCCCTCTTTGGCCACCAGCAGCTGCTTCTCCGCATTCTGTTTCTTGATGTTGTAGTACTGGACCTCCACTTCGTGGGTTAGCTGGAGCCATTTCTGCAAGGCCTCTGGTGCGGCCCAGCTACAGTGGGATTCAAGCTCCTTCTCTGCGTTCTTCAGCGCCATTCGGACCTGTAACGGAAACAGTCACAGCATTACAGGAAGGCCTAGGAGGGGGAGGGGGACCCTTTCATTCCAGTTAGCACTCTCCAAGGTAGTCCCTTCAGCGGATAGTTTTTTGCAGGCCCAACACTTGTAGTGGTACCAAAAAGAAAAACAATCTCCAGCAAGCCTAGTTTCACTCCTGGCTGTGGCTTGGGGTTAGTATAAGAGGGAGAATTCCTGTGCACTGAGCCAATGGGACAACTTTGCTACCGGGGGGTAGGACAGCACCATTCTCTTCCTTGGGGGTCATCCTGCACGGGAGAAGCTGCTGCATGAGCAATTGGAGCAACCTACAGGACTTCCCTCCATTCTGCAGGCTGGGTCCCTTTCCGATTCGTTTTGCTCTACCGTTATCAGGAATTGGGCTGTGGTTGTCCCTTATCACTTCAGCTACCAGCTTGGTTAAGCAGGCTGTTTATGCAATGCAGATCTAGTCCATCTCTCTACGCCTGTGAAGATGGAGGGCCTGATTCTGATTTACGCTGGTGTGAGGGAAAAGAGGAGTAACTACGGTTGATTTAGTGGAATAACACTGGACTGGATGAGAGGAGAACCAAGCCCAGAGTAAAGGTATTCAGAGTGTTTATCTCCAAGCCCTGTAAATCTCTGTCCCCCTCCCTTCTGATCTGCAAGGTATGGAATTGCAGCGTTCCTTCAAGCAAAGACATGCTAACAACTCTGAGCAGGCAGCTGCCTCTTTTCAGCACAGTGACCAAACCAAACACAAAGGGCTTGTTAAAAAGAGACTTTCACACTGGAGCAAAAAGACAGAAACATTTAGACACACAGTGTGCTGCTTGGTCAGAATAGTTACATGTTCCATCCGCAATTCCTCTCTCTGCAGCCCAGCCAAACCTCTTCCCCGGCCTGGACTTGAAGGAACTCCGAGTTCAGAGGAGGATCAAAAACCAGGGGGTGGCAGGCACACCGAAGGCACAAAACCCTTGGACAAATGCATGTCTTTGGTAATCATTAACAAGAATTTACACATATTTAGTGCCTTTCATCAGATCTCAAAGTGCTTTGCAAATATTAAACCTCAAACAATGTTGATGAGGCATTAGCCTCGTTTTAGAGATGGGGAAACTGAGGTACAAAGAGGCTAAGTGGCTTACTTGGAATGACAGCAAGAGAGGGTCAGAACCCAGAAGACCTAGTTCCCTGCAGTGCATTCTAACCCCTACATCACTGTACCTCTCAAACCTGATTATAAACATAGACGGTTTTACTGTGTTTAAGGCTGTCTTTAAGGGGTAGATAGTGTGCTCTCTCTTTTAAAGTACTAACACCAACCCTAAATGTTTTAAACAGGCTCCTTCAGAGGGGGAGAGGGATAGCTCAGTGGTTTGAGCATTGGCCTGCTAAACCCAGGGTTGTGAGTTCAATCCTTGAGAGGGCCACCTTAGGGATCTGGGGCAAAATCAGTACTTGCGTACTGCTAGTGAAGGCAGGGGGCTAGACTTGATGACCTTTCAAGGACCGTTCTAGGATATCTCCATTAATTTAATGACTACACCACCCTTGTTCCACCACATTTAGGCCCCATCTACAGTACAAATACAGCTGTCCCCTGATTTGATATTCACACAGTTAAAGTTTATAGTGTGGGCAGAGCCTAACCATGTCCCTGTAACTGGGACAACACCTTGGATTGTTAATAAAAGTGTCACTTGCGTTCTCTGTTCACTCTGTCTCTGATCCAGCACCCTGTGATCTCAATGGGAGTCTGTCCATTGACTTTATTGGGGGTTGGAGCAGGCCCTGTCTAGGGTTCAGACCACGTTAGCACCTTGCTAGCAAGAAGCATGTGTCAACATAGCTTTGGCGAACACCCTCTCTTTTTCCAGGATAGACAGCTGCACACCGGATTGAGAATGTAAATGTTTAAAGGAATCTCTCAGTAAACCCAGATCAGTTTCCTTTACCGTGTTAACTAACTCAGCTCCATTTAAGCTGCATTTGGCTTGAGCATTATTTCTAGCCAAGGACATCACACTACACTCAGACATTTGAAATTTCATATTCTATCTGAGAGCACATTTGCCAGTCCATTTAGAGCAGTGGGTTTCACATTTTTTAGGCTGTGAACTCCTTACCAAATAAAGTAGTCTACCGCGTACCCTCATGTGAGATAGGGTCATAATATACTTTATGATTAGATTGCCACGTCTTACGAAACAAAATGTGTTGTCTGCCATTACAGGATTTTTCTTGCGTACCCCCTGACAAGAGCTCACGTACCCCAGTTTGAAAACCACTGGTCTAGAGGGACTTATAAAGCAGCCACATTCCAGAGTTAACTACCCACCATTTTACTACTGTCTGCAATTTTAACAAATGTTAAACGTAATTTCCCTAAATTGTTCATAGAAATACAGGGTCAGCATCATAATCTTCATGATGGACTAAATTCTCCACACCAATCTCAACTTCCACTGATCTGATCTCCTACCATACATGGAGTTCTGTCCTCTCTAATCCATCTAGGTTCTGACCCAACCCCCAACCCCATGGTATCTGAGTGCCTGGGAGTGCTGAGCACACAGGCAGAGCAGAACTGTGGAGATGAACCACTTAGCTCTGAGACCGGACATTTGCTCAAAATGTTTATGAACAGCAGGGTTCACATGGAAACAAAAAAATCTGGTTTGGGAAAGTGTACAGGAAGGTAGCAGTGTAAAATGGCTGTCAGGGGACCAATACATAAGGGGAGAATGGGCTCTGGAAAGACTGAAGCATGAGCAGCGTTTATAATCTGGGTGGGGTTTGACATCACTGGAAGGGGTCGGTGTGTAAACTCTAGTACAGACGAGCCCATCTCACTAAGGCCTGGCTAACTTTGCTCTCAGTAGGAGCCTCCAACACGGTCTTTGAAAAACCAGATCATCTTCTTCGCAGCATCAACTGGTGCAAGAGCAGCTCAGATTTCAGGATTCACAGGGACCCAAAAGTATCTTAGACTTTTGACAGGTTGCCTTTGGCTTGTACGGGCAGTGGGAGTGGCTAGTGAATTACATCTGTGGCCTCTAGTTCATTTCAGTGGTGATTGTGTTACATCACGCAGTGCACACTGGGTGGATAAAGCCATTACTCACCCACTCAATGAATCCCACAGGAAGGCCTCTAAGAAACAACAGATTGGTTAAGTCACCGCTGGCTTCAGCTTTCATTACAAATTTAAAGAGGAGGGAAGGGGGCAATGGGTGTGACTTGACACACACAATGCAAACAATACAACTTGTATTTACGTGACAACACGTGGGTGGCTGTGCTGGACTGTAGCATATTTTGAGGTGTATTTGTGTGCGATAGCCTAAACAGGAAACTACTGTCTTGGGAAACTGTATGTAAATAGTATCAGAGGGGTAGCCGTGTTAGTCTGGATCTGTAAAAAGCGACAGAGTCCTGTGGCACCTTATAGACTAACAGAAGTATTGGAGCATAAGCTTTCGTGGGTGAATACCCACTTCGTCAGACGCATGGTCAAATATGTATGTAAATACTCAACTCTGGCAGCAAGTGTTTAAGTTGCTTGGAGGCTTTTAGGGGAAGAGGGGGATGAGGTGTTGCAGAAGCAGTTTAGAATGAATTTAATTGCTGCCTCAAGTTCTCCTAAAATACAGTACGTAAAGTGCCGTACGAAGGGGAAGGGGCCAGCCCTCTGGTTGGGTCTCAGCACAGAAGGATCAGAGGTATGGATCAAACTCCATACCTTCCCTTCGGGGACAGCAGAGGCTATGGAGTGAGGGGCAGCACATTCAGCACTGGAAGCGTGTCTTGTGTTGCTCTCCAGGGATCCCCTCTGGTGACTGCAGAGAGCAGCACGGATGGGCCCCATGAGAAGGCGCCTTTGGGGGAAAGTGGCCGAGATAGTTGGATCTCTCCTATCCCTAAGGTCAACTGGGAGAACGGTGGCAACAGGGCACACTAAGGGGAGTCTAGCTGTATTTCCCAGGGGGATGCAGCAATGGCCATACAGCGTGTGGGTGTCCCGCCCCCCGTTTCTGCTTGTACGTATGGTATGCAATGCTTGCCTGCTCCAGCTCCTGCTCAGCGTACTTCTGTCTGCTCAGCTCGTTCTCCGTCCCCTCGCGCAGCTCCCGCAGCCGGTGTGCCTCTTGCTTGGCGATGCTGATCTCGTCTTGGAGCTTCTTCTCCAGATGCACCTTCTCCACTTCCACCGTGCGGTGCTCCTCCTGGGCCTTCTGCAGCCTAATGCACACAGGCACAGGGAACTGCTAGTGCACGCAGGGCTGTGTGTCCCTGGGCGAAGGAGCCCACTGAGCAATTACTGCATGATTAGCTGCACACACGTGAGGACATACAAGGTCAAACTCTGCTCTCACCTGCACTGGTGTAAACCCAGAGAAACTCCACTGATAACAGTGGAGAGATGCTGCTGTAAATCCAGAGGGAAAGCACAACTCAGCACAGAGTCTCTGGGCACTGAAACTCCAACATTAAGAAAACTCAAGGAAAAGTTTGCCATGAAACTAAAATGATCAACTTCAGATTTTCAGCCACGTTTATTTTTGAAATACCAGAAGAACACAAGCCACAGTCTGATGAAATGCGCTGCAAACTCATTTGATTCTTCTGCGCATTCACAGAAACCCAGAAACAAAGGCCTTCGCCATTATGGAAATGGACATAATCTATATCACTCTACTCCAAGGAGATAAATACTTGAGTTTTAATGGGCCTCGGGACGTGGCTGCGCACGTATATATTTGCAAATTAGATCTGCCAACATACTCCATTTCCCACTGGATCCAAATTCAGACACACCCTCCTCCCAGGAGTGGTTAATTTTCTCCAACATGGGATTAAATCAGTATTGATTTTGCATGGATGCAAGAGAAAATTACAGATTATTTACCCTTGGGTCGGGGAAACTGATGCTGGCGCATCCCAGGAGTTTCAAGGACCCAATACTGCTCTTTTCAATAGCTTTCCGGGTACCCTCGCTCAGCCTGCTGGGTCAGGCTTTTTACTGCATTTTCATTTGCTTCCAAGTCTCTGCTGCTACCTCCCTCTGACACAGCCCCCTGGCGCTGCAGCCTCCTGAGTGCACCGAGGAAGAATTAAGCTACGGAGGAAGAAAACGGGAGTGCAAAGCAGGAGAGGATGCACTAGGACAAATTCTATCTGACTCACTCCAACTGGCCTGTACAAAGGAGGGGGGAGGGATAGCTCAGTGGTTTGAGCATTGGCCTGCTAAACCCAGGGTTGTGAGTTCAATCCTTGAGGGGGCCATTTAGGGATCTGGGGCAAAAATCTGTCAGGGACAGTACTTGGTCCTGCTGTGAAGGCAGGGGACTGGACTCGATGACCTTTCAAGGTCCCTTCCAGCTCTATGAGATAGGTATATCTCCATATAAAAAAATCTCTAGTGTTTGTCACCAAAACCACTTCAAATTCCAAATGTTAGTTATTCTTTAAAATAAACTAAGTACAATGATCATTTCTAACAGGTAGACTGACTGCCAATTTTAAGACAATGTTTCTGCAGCATTTATTCAGTTGAAATGTGTGTGTTTGGGGGCGGGGTTCACTTTATCATTTTGGCTACAAAAACTAATGATGTATAAGTATCTTCCCAGGGAGAAAACACTGTGTACTAGAGTGTTCTTTAATCTAGTGGAGAAAGGCAGAACAAGAACCAATGCTGGAAGCTGTGCCAGACACATTCAACTTAGCAATAAGCAGGGCTTAATTTGTGCCAGTCCTGAGCCCCGGCACCTCTGGGCCTGGCAGTTCATGGCCCCGGCACCTCTGGGCCTGGCAGTTCATGGCCCCGGCACCTCTGGGCTTGCCGCATCAGTTATGAAAGTAAAAAAATTGCTTGAGCCCCCAGCACCTAATTAAGCACTGGCAATAAGGCACACTTTTTAACAGGGTGATTAACCACTGGAACAAACTACCAAGGGAAGTGGTGAATTCTCCATCTTTTGATGCCTTTCTAGAAGATGCTTTAGTCAAACACACATTATTGGGCTCAATGCCGGGGTAACTGGATGAAATTCTATGGTCTGCGGTGTGCAGGAGGTCAGACTAGATGATCTAATGGTCCCTTCTGACCTTAAACTCTGAGCTGTTTTCCTCTTTTCTCCAGAGATCCTGTGCTGCAGTAGAAGGTAAATCAATAACAGCCGGACACAACAGTGTGTTTAAATAGTAGAGACCTTCTGACCCAGAGTGCATTGTGAAGACATTTTTGTCCCTTGTCCTTGCAGGTCAGGTTCCGGTCCCAACTTAAACAAAACCATCCTTTCTATTTATACTCCATGTTCTGGTCAGTCCGTTTCCTTTTTAGGATTTGTTGGAGTTTTAGGAGAACTTCAGTATGGTTTAGTAGTTATGAGGATAAAAGCTTTCTGAGGTCAGGCAGGCATAAACTGAGCCAACGAAACCATTACTGGGCTTAAGCGTAAAGATTCAATGACTGGCTACGAAAATAGCTATAGACCAGGCTGCGGACGACTTTTAAAAACTAAACTGCAAGATGAATCATCCCAGCTAAAAGCAAAAGCATTTCCAGTCACCAAATCTTTTCTTATTCAGGGTGTCCAATCCCCAAAATGGAATAACAGCCCAGTTTCTGATTATTTACCCCCCTTTCCAAACCAAAAGAAGGGAAAGGACTGTGAGATACGTGCAGCACAGCGGCTCTGAGGTGCGCCAGGAACAAACTGCAATCAAAGGCAAGGACACTTGCCCAGGCCACTAGCAGCCTTGGCTGGCAGGTTTCCTTTAGATGTACTGGGAGTAATCAAGACCCTCTGAGGAGGGATGGCAAGGAAAACCTCCAGCCCCAAGAAGAGTGTTTGTGGGAAGCAACTTGTGCGAACAAACCAGACGCCAGGAAGGTTGACTTTTGTTAAAGCTCAAAGAGGGATAGGGAAGCAGAACTTGCCTGCATGAGACTTTGCTTCTATGCACAAGACTTTGAGAAATGCCTGGTTCATGGGCCTACAAGTGACCATTCAGATACAAACAAACAAAATGAGGTGAAGCCGATCCTTATCGCAGAATTCTGCTCTGTGTAATATACACATTTCGACTGCTCTCTTCGAGACCTTGTACAAAACTAAAGGACTGCATCTGTCGTCTGTTTACTTCACAGCCCAGATTTAAAAAATGGGAAGAATGTTAAAGACGCATTTCAAAACATTACTATGAACAAACGAAACCCATGTTTTGGGAGCAGAGGCTAGAGAGGAGCAGTCCACTGGTCCACTGAAGAGTGCAATTCACTGAGAACACTGCAAACACAAGCCTCCTCACGGTGTAGAGATGTCAATTCAAAACAAAATTTGGATGGGCGGGACTTTTTTCAGCCATTTTGTTGGCTGTGTTGCTGGACAAGGGTTTATTTTCAATTTATAGTTCTGCTGAGAAACACAAATGTTTTCATTCCTAATTTTAAAACAATCCTATTGAGACGTTCCAAGTTTAGAGATAAACCCACGCTCTCTGCCCTCCATGGATCATTGCTCCATCACTTCCATTCTAAGCTTGTTAATACTCCACACACATTAGAATACCCTCTGTTTAAAGGGGAAATGTCCCGGTGGTGTGTGTGTCATGGGAGGGAGTGGGAGGATTAATCCTTAAGATTTCTCTTGAATGCACTAGTCAGACTTCTTCTGTTCCCCACCCTTTCATTATTCATGTTTCATGAAAACGACAGTCCATCATTTCCTCTGTTGCTCACCAGAGACAACAACAACTTTCCCCTGCATGTTCTCAGTCAATGTGACTGGATTCACACACGCACCAGTTTTACACTAGTGGAGCTCCACTGAATTCAGTGGAGTTATTCTGAATTTACACTGATGCAAGTACAAGCAAGACTTCCTGGGAACAGTCTCCATTAAGGGATATCCTGTAAATGTTCTAGATTAGAACAGAATTTGGCTTGCTGGATCAACCGTTCCTGCTCTAGGTATCTCAACGGCCCTCACGAAGTTCTAAGTGAGGCAACGGAGTAGCCATTTGATAGACTGTGGGAAAGGCATTATGTACACAGCACCTGGGACAGACACCTGTTTCAGGGTGACTCACATCGTTTGTCTGGAACCCAGATTATTCACAATTTTCCAAAGAGAACCATGGAAGGACTTCCATTTGGACCACTGAAAGATGTCTTGTACGTAGCATTCTCTGTCACTGTAGCATCTGAGCACCTCGCAGACTAATACATTTATCCTTTCAGCAGCATGTGAGGTAAGGGAGTGTTATTCCCTTTTTACAGAAGGGGACTGAGTCTACCCTGGGCAAGTCAGTTTGCACAAGGTCACCAGGGAGTCTGTGGCCGAGCCAGGAAATGATCACTCACCTCCTTCCTTCCAGGTCAGTGCTCTATCCACAGACAATCCTTCCTACCCTAATGCTCTGCAGACCTGTCAGGAGGAGGTCTCTGAAGCTTTTAGCCGTGCCTGGCATGTGCGGTTTCAGGTTTCTTCCTGTTTGGCTTTAGGTGACATTAGCTAATGTTCACCGGCACATCTCCTTGTTTGTTGTCCTATCTTCAATGGCAGATCCCAAGGTCATGTCTTACACAGCACGTTTGCAGCAATGTTAGTATTTAGGCCCAGTGCCTACAGGGTAACTTACTCTTGAATCCCCAGTATAAACTCAGCAGTTACCTCCAGGTCCTACCTAAAAGCATACACTTAAAGGTACAGAGTAAAATTCGGATGCTCTACAGTAATTATCTCAATGGGCAGTCACTTCAGCTAGGAAATCCTAATGGTTTCTCACTTTAGCAGATCCTTTTTCTTCGGAGAATTGCCAATCTGGCAATGGTAAAATTATACACAACTCTGAAATTATTTGTTGCTCAGAACTGGCTGCCTCAAAGACATACAGTAAATGTAGTTTTTTCCCTCTCTTCATGTCAGGAACAAAGCAGATCATATGTGTGTGTCACTGAGAAGGGAAGGCAGGGAGTTTGGCACCATCATCTTGACACATATCTTTCCTTTCAGGTGAATGCCAACTAATGTCATCACACAGAGCTACTTGACAGAAGAAAGTTCTCACAAACACAACACCCATGAGCAGGGCTATTCTCTGCCAGCTGTTCTGACAGGATAGGTGAGGAACCGGGCTCCAGTACTGCGTGTGTGTATATGGCACTGTTTCCAATGGCTGAAGTGTTTTGTAAAAATCTTCACGGCAGGTTTACATTCCTGAGATGCTGGCACATGTACAGGCAACTTTTCACGCTAGCTAGTGCACACACACAATTGGAATACAAGTCTGCTCACACTGCAGTCATTGGGAGTTTAGCCATCGACTTCTATGGCAACCAGACTGGACTCTTTATCTTTGAAAATTATATTCAAGAGACAAGTAAAAATAATTACAGACAAGCTCTGTTAAAAATGGTGATTTCAGCAAGAAACTAACCTTTTTAAAAAAAAAAGAAAATGAGATTGTCAGTAGTAGCCCTTTGTCCATATATAAGCCCTGTGGCAGCCGTTACACATGTAAGTAGCCACATTGAGGTCAATACCATTACTCATGTGAGTAAAAGTTGCATTCTTCAGCCCACAGTATTTTGCCAAAGAAGAAATGAAACTTTTTTATGATGAACAAGAGACAGTTCAGCTGCTTATGTTTAATGTTCCTGTATTGAATTTTCTAACTTTTTTTTGTGCTTCCTAGTAAACAACTTATGAGAACTGGATATCCCTGTAGTTCCTGGGAAGCGGTGGCTGAAGCCATCAGGAAATCTGGCCAAATTCCTCTCCTGAACCATTTCCAGAATATTGATGCGTTTCACCCTCTCTCTTGGCTAATATGAAGATGCAACCTGAGTCAGTCCAGATGATGGATTCTGAAGGAGCCAGATTACTTAACATTCTTTTTGAAAGACCCTTTTTTCCTGTAGGAGCAGGTCTATTTTGTGATTTTAAAAGGAAAGCAGAAGAATTCTGGTTTCTTTCAGTATCGTTTGGACTGACACAAAGGAACAATTGCTGACCAGCTTCACTGCTGTAGCACAGGAAAGTATGACGCATCGGTAGCAAGTTCCCATTTAAAGTAAGACAATAGGCTCAAACACAAGGGTGTCAAGCCCCTGTCAACTACAGCAGGGGCATCCAAGTCATGTTAGGTAAGAATCGGAGTGCGTGCAGTTGTTAATGATCAAAGTATGAAAGTTCTAGTTGGAATATGACGGACTCGGGGGGGGGGGAACCAGGCCCTTCATATTTAACCGTCTCAAAGACAGCACAACTGATTTGGTGAAAACGGTCCTACAAAATTCATTCTCTTTCTAAAAATTACAGCCCAACCGAAATTTGAGAAAAACTTGAGCAACCAACAAAAGGGAATTAAGGTGGAAATCAGCATTCAGCCTTAACTGCTATTTGTGCTGCTCAAGTCCACTAAAAATACATGAGATGCTTGTGCCTCATGCTGCCAATTCAGCATAGTGACTTCACACGACAGCAGTAGGCTTTATAATAGCATATGAGGGTCGTTTTAACTATTCTAGTTTTGATGGGGCACATCCCAAGTACATCTAACCAGTGCACATTGTGCAGGGAGTGGCAAGGGTGGGGTTATGTCCAAATTTCTTAACTAGCTGACCAAATGCATTCAAAGACTGTGCAGTCACATCAGTAATGCCAACTGGGTAATAGGTTTGCTATGATGACCTAAGCAGTCAGGTACTTATGGCTGACACCTTCACAGAATAAGAGGCTGACTGCTACTGGTTTAATCCAAACTAACAGTGGAGATTTAACCACCCACCTCCAGACAAAGCTTAAGTAGGACTCACCTTTCTTGAAGGTCGTGTAGACTCTGCTCAGCTCTATGAAGCCCTTCTAGGTCTTTCATCATCCTCTTCACGTGCTCCTTTGAGTAGCGGTTCTGGATGTAGGCAAACCAGCAGCCACCCACTCCAATGACAATGGACACCACCAACATGAAATCCTTTAGGTGGTTATGACGAGTTACTGGGGAAAAAAGAGTTGCAAATAGATAGTTTAATTCAAAGATGGAAATATGATGATCTGCTTTGCAATGTTTTCTTTGCACCACAGGGAAAAAATTAACACACTAGAAAGAATTATGGACCTAGAAACACAGCAGGCAGGAAGGACTGATGCCCACCCATACCTACAAATCCCCTTGAAATCACCATAAAACACACCTACCTTCCTTAACAGATGATCCCAAACCAATGCTGGAGAGAAGGCTCAGACACTACGGTGACGGGCATGGTATAAGAACCCTTAATTGAACAGTATAACGCTCTGTACCTCGGGGGAACACCCAGCACCCCCACGTTCATTCTTGTAAAATGATTGTGTGGTATCCAATGCAAAGTTTGTCATGTTGGGTGTCTTCGGAAGGCTCATGATGCACTGAGCATGGTTGTTATAGTGATGTTATAGGTTGTAATTTCATGTATATAGTTATGAGGCTGAAAATGTATCCTTATGGCTTAAAATAAGCCCAGGCAAAAACTCTCCAGGAGCAGAGGGGCAGTTCACACCTCAACAGGGCGTGTATGGGACAAACCCAGCCCAGCCTCACAGGAACAAAGGGCACTGGCCTAGACAGCAACAAAAGAATCTGTTGGACTCTCGAGTGAATCACCCCCCTTCCCTTGGTGAGTTTGGGACTCTGATGAGGTGATGCTCACCTGACTCTGAAGGGGGGGGGGGGGTCCAAAGCCAAGAGGGAAGAAAGAACATGATAAAAGGGAGAGACGTTTGCCATGCTCTTCCTCTCTCTTCTACTTCCATCTACAGACACCACCACCAAGCGACTGAAGCGCTGATCAAAGAGGAGAGCCTGGCTGAAGAGCAACCAGCCGGCCTGTGGTGAAAAGGATCTAAGTTTGTAATGACATTGAAAGTGTTAAGATCAGCTTGGAATTCGTTTTGCTTTTATTTCATTTGACCAAATCTGACTTCTTGTGCTTTGACTTATAATCACTTAAAATCTATCTTTTGTAGTTAATAAACTGTTTGTTTATTCTACCTGAAGCAGTGCGTTTGGTTTGAAGCATGTCAGAGACTCCCCTTGGGATAACAAGCCTGGTACATATCAATTTCTTTGTTAAATTGATGAACTCATATAAGCTTGCAGCGTCCAGCGGGCATAACTGGACACTGCAAGATGAAGGTTCCTAGGGTTGTGTCTGGCACTGGAGATATTGGCTAGTGTTATTCGGTTGCACAATCCGAGGGGCAGCTTACATGCCGGAGGCTGTGTGTGAACAGCCCATGAGAGGGGGTTCTCACAGCAGAGCAGGGTAAGGCTGGCTCCCAGAGTCAAGGATTGGAGTGACCTAGCAGATCACCGGTCCAGATAACACCAGAGGGGAACGTCACAAATGGGTCATGTCCTAGCTACATCAAAGACTCAATGCTGATCTGTCAACCACTATGACAGCTGCACTCCTTTGGGCCAATGCAGATCACAAAGCCCAAGACAAAGCACAGGAGCGCTGGGGAGAAAGCTTTCTCTGATGAGGGGATCTGGCTACAGAACAAACTTGCAGAGAAGATGAGGCAAATTTGGAGTCTGATTATCTTTAGAGAACGTAGCAAAATCTTCATATATAAAAAAGCCACTTTAGCTTAATAGTGACAACACTGACAGCCCCTCTTTCTCTAAGCCCCTACCAACAAAAAAGGGTGAATTAATAAAATCGAAACTCCACCCCACCCTGTTGTTTTTAGCAGAATGTTGACCTCAAAAAGGGAGAAGTGCCAAAAGGTGAATGAAATCCACTTGGGAATTTGCTATTGCTTTTAAAGGGAGTATGCTTAGAGCCTACAGTGATGAGAGGCACCATAAAGCCCCAAGATAAATAAACAGAACCTAGAAAGATATGAAATTCTTTCCCAAGGCCCTAATTAGGCTAAGCCATTTAACCTTTTGCACGGGAACAAGAGTCAGCATAGCTGGGCATCTAACCACACTGGGGGTTAGGGGTTACCTCTGGTGTATAATTTATAAACAATCATGGAAAAATAGACTCTTACTAGGATTTCCAAGGACAGAGAATATGAGACATTAGCCACCTTTAATATTTAACCAAAACTATGTTTCGGTTTCCTCTCACTGGGACAAACACTGAGCTAGATCCTGCAACCCTCAGCTACATTCAAGTCAATTCCGCGAGAGCCTACTTGGATGAGTCAGGGCTGCAGACCAGGCCCACAGGAGTCTGTTCACCTGGCAGGTACAAAAGGAGGAATCAAAAGAAACATCCCAGAAATCAATAATTAAGAGGAGCGCCTCACTTCATCTAAAATGGAAGGATTTTTATGAGGCGTTTACATAACACCCCTACCCTCAAGAGAATAGTTAACCCTGAGGATGCAGGGCATTTCCGAAGTACTTGGAGCAATCAGACCATTTCTGGATTCGGAGATTAGAGTGGCTGAGATCCAAACAGCCATAAGAGGGCTAACAAGCAACGCAAGATCGGTTCTTAGAGGGATTATCATTTAAGTTGTGTAATGCATTCTCACAGCTACCTTATAAAGAAAGTAACTGTCTTTTTGGGGGGAGGGGAGATCAGATGATATCCCCTGCTCTTTCTTCCTTCACATGCACTTCAGCAGTAATGTAAGCAGATCCCCAAAGCCATGCTCCCTCTCACAGGCCAAACGCTTTATTAGGTACTCTTTGTGAGATTCGTCCACTAACAGTAATTAGGTGGAGGGCGATTTCACCCACTGTGGTCCAACAGGTAAAGATGGGATTTAGTGGGATTAGATACTTCTCGTAACGCAGTGAACCTCATCAAATAAGCATCCAACTCCTCCTAGTCCTGTCAGTGGGAATAGCTTGACATGGAGAAGTGAGTATTTGTGATGAAAGTTCAAAAAATAAATGGCTAAAACTTCATGGGACAGATCCCAAAGTGCCTAGAAAAATCACATCTCGATAATGTAAAGATGATAGAAAATAGTTACTTTCCCTCCACACACTCTTTAATCTGAGGAACTTCAAGCACTTCTATAGACATAAATTAAGCCTCACAACACCTCTGAGAGGTACACAATACATTACACACATTTTACAGATGGGTAAACTGAGACACAAGTGACTTGTCCAAGATCACTCTAAAGGTCAGTGAAAGGGCTGGGAAAAAAGAACTCAGCCGTTCTGGACCTATTCTAATCTGGCAGAGAACGGTGTAACATGAGCCAATGACTAGAAGTTAAAGCTAGATATGTTCAGACTGGAAATAAGGCATAATTTTTTAAAGTTGAAAGTAATTAACCACTGGAACAATTTATCAAAGGTTGTGGTGGATTCTCATCACTGACCATTTTTAAATCACAATTAGATGTTTCTCCAAAAGATCTGCTCCAGGAATTATTTTGGCGAGGTTCTATGGCCTGTGTTATAGAGAAGGTCAGACTAGATGATCACAATGGTCCCTTCAGGTCTTAGAATCTACGAATCTATGAAATTATTAGACAGCAATTCCTGGTGTGAAAGTATGGCTTAGACTCTGGATAGAAGACGAATGCAATGAGGTGCCTCATCACTTGAAAAAAGTGAGAGCTCGTCACTGATGGGGAGCTAGTGATTCCGAGATTACCCATGATTTACATTGCATAGAAGCCTACGCAGGGCTCAGCCCCCACTGCCGCTCTATTTTGAGGGCATGAGTGTGCATGCTGTGTGCTGACATTTGCTGAAGAGTGATTTCTGAGTTGGACAGAGCTCAAAGTCCCATTTTCATTTCCATCCTTTCCTGGAGATTTAGGCAAAGATACTGGAAGACATTAAGAGAGGCCATTATCTGCCATAGCATACTATAAAACCCCATCTTGGTTTAAGTTTTAACAGCTTTGGGTTTTGGATCCTAGCAGTAAGTGTGGGTTAACAGGCACCTTCAAGACCTACTACAATGCTGTATTTCCCAGGGAAATTTCCATTATGTCTTTGTGAAGTTGGCTCCTTTCCCCTAAGCAGATTATTCCAGTGCCTCCTGTTTGCTGTGGTAATGACTCTGAAACAGTAAGTGCTGGATTTTTACATTTCTTATTCTCTCCTGACTGAGGAGGAATGAGTGGGTGGCTGGGCTGGTACCCCTCTGCATGTGACTTCACCACCGACCCCGCCCACCTTGCTCAGAGTTGTGGGGTGTCTATAGCTCCCCCACCACAATAAACTCCATTTGGGTCTCCTCATGTGTAAATTTCTAGTTCAGTTTGGGCCAGGGTGGAGTGATGGGTGAGTAAAGTGAACCCAGATTTCTCTTCCCTTTAATCTAGGAGAAATGAATAAGGTTTAAGATTATTGCCAAGAAGCTAATGGATGCGTTTTTCTTTTTCTCATTGGGTTCTAACAGCAGGCTTTGATTGTGCCAGTTAAGAGATGGAAGTGTTGCAACTCAAAGGGTACGTCTACACTACCTGCCGGATCGGCGGGTAGTGATCAATCTATCGGGGATCGATTTATCGTATCTAGTGTAGACACGATAAATCGATCCCCGATCGCTCTGCCGTTGACTCCTGTACTCCATCGCGGCGAGAGGTGGAAGCAGAGTCGACGGAGGAGCGGCAGCAGTCGAACCCGCGCCATGAGGAAGCGAGGTAAGTCGACCTAAGATACATCAACTTCAGCTACGCTATTCTTGTAGCTGAAGTTGCGTATCTTAGGTCGATCCCTCCCCCCGTGTAGACCAGACCTAAGTTACCTTTTTCATTTGTTCACAAATCTTTCTGTTTGACATTTGGTAACACCACATCACACTAAGACTCAAGCCTGTAAAAATGTGCCATTTATAATAGCCTATCATGTATAAGGTACAGTACACAGATGGTAAGATAAACATATACAAAGGCAGAGAGGGGAAAGAGCAACTACGCACAAGAAACTACAGATCTTTGGAATGAGAAGTCTAGCAGACGGGACACTGGCAGGAAACAGGATAAAAATGGATTAACACAATCTATTCCTAACCAGGATGTGCTTG